GTGTGTGTGTGAAGAAGTGAATTTAGATGTTAGCCACATACTTTCCTGTGATGGCTTTCTCTTCCATTGTCCATGACCCGAACACAAGAGTCTATTATTGCACTTCGCACAGGTTCCTACAGTAAGAATGGTCGATTAGTGCTATAACACTTAAGAACCTAAATGAAGTCTCATTACAAAATGTACTGTATAGACCTCATTAACAAGCAGATATGCGGTTTCAATTAGATATACGAGACGTGTGTGTAGTTAACTAAACCATTCACCATGTCTTCATATGCACCTCAAGCCAGAGGTATAGTGAAAAAAATGAAGAAGTAATTAACCATGAAGTACGATTTTTTTCGCTATAGGTATACACTATGAAGCACAGCAAGTAATATGGACAAGACAATTATCCTATCACCCGAAGAAAAAAAAAGGAAACCGAGCTAAAAAAAATTCAGTTCAGCAAAAAGAACATCAATAAGTCTAGTGAACTAAAAGTAAATCAATATAGTGCAGCAATGCATAATGCATAATACACTATAGAGACAATATCATAACAGAGAAAATGCAATTTTCATCATGCTTTGTATTACAATCATACAACACATCAAGAAGCCTAACTGCATTTCGCCCAAATGCTAACACTGAGAACAGCTGATGAGCTTTCAATACGAATCGACAATCAAAACGAGCTAGTTAAAAAGAAAATCTTTAACATTTATAACTTGATATCAATAAATACTTATTCAACTTCTTTAATTTATTCAAATATTATGTAGGGATGTTATCAGCCATAATATTTATGAACACCCCAAAAACCTTTTACCAACATGGACTTAAAAAGATCAATAAGAAAACTTAAAAGAAGAAAATGAAAGGAAAAAGAAAGAAATACAGAAAGGTATATGATGAAGAGGGGAAGAATCGACAACCCATAAATGTATCATGAAATAAAATAAATCGATGGTAAAGACTACAGTCCCGTCACGGAATGATTCCGTGAGGGAGTTTAGCCTTTATATATATATATATATATATATATATATATGCAAGTTAGTTATTGTAGATAATCTATAGCTAAAGTCCGTCATGGTATCGTCACCGCTTGGGTTACATCGTGTGTTAGTCCCCCCTGTTGGATTAGGAGCTTGGCTCGATCATGACCTCATGGGGGTATCCTATCCCCGTCGCATTCTAGCTTAATCGTTTGAGGCATTAGCCTCCTTCTTTGTACCAAAAAAAAAAGTCCCTCACGGAAGCATTCCGTGACGGGACTGCGGTATTTCCATGACGGGACCGTAGTCTTTTCCATAATCGTAATATCACATAATAAATGGAAATTAAAAATTAGAATCACGATAATGTAAATGGACACAAAATACCCATCAAACCGATTTATACAAATAAAATAAAAAAAAAAAGGATTTTCACCTCTGTTTCCGAAGTTGGGATTGATTTGAAGCTCTTAAGGCAATTGTCTTGAAGAATGAAGTACCTCTTACGCGAATACTGAAGCCCAAAACGATTGAAACGAATCAAATAGAGCCACCCTTCCATTTTCCCTTCATCTTCAGACATCACCATTTTCTCCGAAAATCCCAGAAAAGGATAATAAACTAATAAAGGTCCAAACTTTATGTGATTTTTTCAGCAAAATCAAAAACCCATTTGAAATTTGTTCCAAGATTCGCAACTATGGGCGCAAACATACACAAAAATTCGTATGAATATGCATGTAAAGAGTGAATGAAAATTCTGGGATTGATAAAAATGATTCCCTGATTCCAAAAAAAAAGGAACCAGAGAATCAAAACGCAGAATTGCTAATAAATTCGCAGATTTCTTGGCTAACTTGTTTCAAATATATATTCTGGTTGATTGTTGTCTTTTTTTTTTTTT